GCATCAAATTTAATGAGGATGCCATGATATAGACAAAAAAAGGAAATCAAATAATATACTTTAGGCATTTAATGCCAATTTTAATGGAGCCACAATTGTGGGCGTCGATCTTTTTCTAGCAATTAAAAATGATACTGAAATTGAAAAAATGATCTTGGCCGCAAAAATAATAACAAAAATCACACACGAATAAATGAACGTTGCGAGCTTTTTCCCGTTTGCACCAAAGCGAAAAAAGCAAACAAACACATACGCGAATAATTCAGTTTTTTCTCATTAAGCAACAGCAAACGAATAGAAAATATAAAATTTTGCTTTGTAATATGTATTCTACCGTAAAGTAGATAGGTCGTAGCAAAAGTTGTGAGTGTGTAATAAGATTTTCTTGAAAATTAGTTTTACACGATTGTTCGCTACGTCAATCCTAACACAATCAACGCATATAGAAAAAGTTTTTTAAGCCATCAGCTGCGTTCGCTGTACAAAACGCAATATGTTAATACGGTGTGAGAATGCGTTAAATTTACTTAGAGGGGAAATATCTGTTTACTGTGATCGCGTCAAACAATACGATGAAAATAAACAACAACAGCAAGCAAGAAACACAAAAACTCACTCGCATACACATGCAGTAAACATCGAACGGAGCTATACAAAGACCCTCTTTCAATTTTTAATGAAAGCACTTAAAGTTGTCGGAATGTGGTTTGCGAGAAGTGTGCTTCTGTGTGTCCTATGCATTTCAAGAATGTTCAAACTTTATGACGTCTGTTGGATGGAGAGAGAGAGAGAGAGAGAGAGAGAGAGAGAGAGAGAGAGAGAGTGAGCGAGTGTTCGATAGTGTTTTCGTAGTTGTGATGAATCCATTTTATTCTTTGGTTTCATTTTTTTTCCATTCCCTCTGTGCTCGGTATACACACGCTCGCACAAAACATTAATCATCAAACGAGACAAGTGAGCATTTACAGAATTCTTTTTATCAGACACTACAGAAGCAGAAAAAGCAACAACATGCCCGAGAATCAAATCAAAACATGACATTCTCAAGGCTGGCAATGGGATAGTTTGTCCTTTTATTCTAGTGAGCAAGCCAAATGATAAAAATGATTGTGAGTCATTATGTTCTGCCAACGCCATGAATAAATGCAATGCAGACATAAAAATATGTGGAAAGAGTGGAAAAAACCCGCCACCATGGATTCAAATTGGAATATTTTTTTGTGTCTGCAATGCGCGGAGAAAGAAAAAGCAGGCAAGTTGCGTTTGGAGTAGACACGGGACAAACAGAATGAAAAGGGAACAAAAAAAAACACGTTTGTTGTGGTATTTATTTGATATAATCACGTGGGCAAACCGAATTTCAGCTGTTCGACGCCAATATTAATCGAATGAGCAAAGCAAAATATGTACCAACGATATATATTTTTTCTGTTTAAATTGGGAAAACTTCGGCACCGAAAAATTCACATTCCATTGGTCGACACGGGGAATGATGGAGACGAATTGATGGCGAAGACACACACAGGTCAATTGGATTTCGCCTCCGCTCTCTCTCTCTCCCTCTCTCTCTCTCTCTCTCTCTCTCTCTCTCTCTCTCCCACTCGAAGCCTAAAGAAAACGCATCGATGTGAGCATGTGTACGTGATGGCTTTTCGTGCGTGCGTGCGTGCGTTCCTCTCTCTGTGTATGTCTTCTATTCACCCATCTGCATATGTACACGAATGTTATTAGATACGTCACTAATGTCGAACAACAACATCGTAATTAAATAGACAAACAATAGAAAATTTCACATAAATCTCAGTGACTGTCGCGTCTATTTATTATCGCATATATTTCGATCGGCACATTCTGTATTGTCAGTCAATCTCCTCCTATCTCTCGCTCGTAAGATTCATTTATTTTCGCATTCACGTCAAATAATTACCTCATTAATTAATACAATTTATTCAAGTTAAATTTCGTTTTAATTGGATTTTGTGCTAGCATTTTTCGCTCGTAAATAACACTAGATTGCGGCTCTTTCCGCTTAGACCACCTCTCTTCCATTCTCTTAGCAAAACCTCATCCACCTACGCCCCGCTTCACGCATCTCTTGTATCATCTATTGCTTAAAAATGAAGCGTTTGCCACCCAGAAATCAGCCAAAGCTGATGAACGTTTCTGCAAATCTACTGGCATCAAAAGACACCAACATGATTGATTCACTTTAACCAACCGAATATAATCTATGAAGACCGGGAATCCGATTACTCGCCAAATTCCAGTCTATTTTGTGCACACAGCACAATCCACAATGAAACTTTTAATCGACATTCCTCTTCTTAAATGTAGAGAAAAAAAAACTGCGTTCTTTCCCCGTTGATGTACCACATACATTCCCAAAGACAATGTGTGTTCTTCTGAAACTGCAAAACATTACATGAAATAAGATCGGTTTTCACACTTTTAATGGATTTTCTTCTCCCTCTTGCGAATGATAAAGTCTGACTCATATTGAACATCACCTGATTAATTTACCTTTTTCTCTATTTTTTTTTTACATCGACTCAACTGAGCTATTAACCTTCATCCTCTTGACAAATTTCATATCGAAGAGAATCTCATTTTGGTTTTTATTGATGATGAATTTGTTTGATGTTGTGTTTTCTTTTTTTTATTTTCTTTCACCAAATGATCCACTGGTGAGATTATTATCAACCACTTCTTTCGCATTCCAAGAAGTTCAAATAGCTGGTAATTTCTAATACAGCAATGGACGCGTGACATTTCATTCGGCTTTAATCATAAAGCTATAAAAAAAACTTTTCAATTTGATTGGCTTTTTAAAAGTGCTGACCGAAAATTTAAATCAGCTCAGTTCACGTGCATACAAAAAAACGACAACAGCGTAAATTACTTTTCGTGAGTTCTTTGATTTTCGATTTTTAATTGTACAAAACGCCTCTAGTCCATAGAACATTTTTTATTGCTTTCAACGCATTTCAAAGCCATGAAGCTTTTTCATCAACAATCAGAGACGCAAAATCCATTTGATAGAAGGGTTTTCTAGCCATAGAACATTCATTCCAAAATATTGCTACGATTTGAAACGCACTTTTCTTCTATTAAACATTTTAGTAAAAAATATTTGCAATTACGACACATAACTTGTATGCGATATATCACAACTACAATGACGATTGATTAATTAAATAGATTTAATGAAATGATTTCGTACATAATTTGCAAATTTCGGTTACAACAAAGAAATGGCGTCTTTTTAAGTAGGTTTATTTTACAAAATAGACAAAAACGGCGTTTTCATAATTCGAGTAATTTAACAAGAAATATTCACTGTAATTAAATGTTCATTCAGGCACTCATCTCGTTCTATACGCTTTTTCGGAATCATCACTACGTAAAAACCATGACGACATTCTTCCATTCGGGGATTAAAATAAACAATGGCTTAAATGAAATTCGGCTATAAAAATCGGCGCGCATAATTAATTAATGAAATCTGATTTTGGTTGTTGTGTATCGTTCACTCTCTGTTGGCTCTGTCTATCGCAACCCGTGTCGCGCGTGGAACATGTTCAAAAAAAGGTAAAACAGAGGAAAAGACGAAATAATTTATCACGCGGAAAAAGGTGAACACACACTTAACCAGGTTCAGCACTTAAATTTTACACGTAGCAAAAATCGCAACTTCTTTGTATCGTAAATAATTCCATCAAGAAAATGATGTGTTTCCATTAAGTTAAATTGCATGAAGATTGTGAAATGAATGTTGAAAACAGGCATGCGTCTGAATTATTGACATTGGCAACACAACTTCGATAAACTTCGCGTTTCGTATACCCATTTTCGTCGTTTTATTTCTTTTTCTTCTTCTTTGTTTTATAGCGAGTTTTTGCTCAGACTCACGGGATCGATACAGCACACGAGAATGCACTTCAATCGACTTATAGTCACATAAAGTGATTGTATGCCACAAAATGTCATTTTGCATCTGACTTTATAGAGAGAGTTTGTGTTTCAATAAGCGGAATAGATCTTGTATGGTGGGAAAAGAAACTATTCAAGAACCTTTTTAGAAGTTTGCAGTGAGTGAGAGTGAGAGTGAGTGAGAGTGTGAGAGAGAGTAATAGGGAAAGTCAAAATTGATCAAAGCGCCATGGCAATAAAACTCAATTATGGGGAGAAAAAAATACAGTTTTCGGTGGTATTCTCTCTCTCTCTCTCTCTCTCTCTCTCTGTTAAACATTCTCGTGGTTATAACACTGCTGTCGGATGCACTTATGACGCGCTCCCAAACGCTTGAGTCAAAAGTGTTCAAGCCAGTATTGCAACCCCATCGGTATCGCATCAATTGATCGATATTAATATCTACGGGAAAAACTTATGGGAAAATGTCACATTACTATGCGACATATTGGTAATTAGCTCAAAGCTATTAGACGATTTAATTGCGACGTTCAATGCTACTTATTGCCTTGTTCTTGAACACGCATAGATCGATCTAGATTTTTGCATCGTACTGCATCGATCCGTCGGAAGTGAACGATATGATTTTTTTTTTAAATTGGTTTGCACATTTTTCGAATTGAGGGCATTTCAACGAGAACTTTGATGACACACACGCTTGAATTGTATTTAGTTTCATGTGTTATGTTTTTTTTCTGTTTCTGCTCAAGTATTTTCCCACTTCTGGGCTTCCTCCTCAACTTAAGTTCAATGATCCAATCGTTCTAATTGAATTAGTCAAAATGAGATTGAATATCTTTTAATATAATATCTTTGTTCGTATTTTTTTCTTTTCCAACATGTTTATCCGGCGTCTTTGTTTCTTTTCTTCCTCTTCTTCTTGTCACTGTTGTGCGTGCACAAATGCCATCGATTCGTTTGGTTCATTGGAATAATCATCGCCTTCATTCGTTTTGTTTTGTCATCTGGGGACGACAACAACAACTACGAAACACTGGAATGGAACAATTTGCGAAACCATGAAATTTTAGTATCGGATTTTACGCAACAACTATCGCAATTGTATGAACATCATGGTGAATCCCTTCAAATGCTTGTCTCAACATTTCGCAAACGAAATAGTGAGCTGCGTAAAGAAAGGTATGGAAATTATTATTAGTGATAATGATGGTGAATTGTGTAGTGCATGGCGCACATTAATTTCATCGATCTATATAGTTCACTGTCTTGTGCATTAAACAATTCTGTTGTAATTTTCACATAGCCAATACTGTTTTGCCAATCACATTTAATTACAAATACATGTAACTGTGCTCTTTACAGGCCATCCTGTCCGTCAACATTGTTCCAGGCGTGGGAAACGTTTCTGCAAGAAATCGAAGCGGATTCGGTCACGGCAAATGACATAGCCAAAACGCTATGCAGACAGGTGAGAGACAAATCGATTTTGCAATCATATCATCATCAGCTCAGTCACACATTTCGCTGCGGTTGTTGTCCGTCTCAAATCGATATATTTATATTGCCATTGAATTGGAAACGGTATTTTCTTACAAAATGGAGAAGGTATAAGAGGATTATGAATTGTTCTGCATCTCCTAAAGCGTTAAGCCATTGCAAACTATTGACTAAGCTGGCACTGCTGACGCTGCCGCATTGCATCAACAGTGTCATTTTAAGATGATTGCTGAGCAGTAGCTAAACATTCACATTGCATTCGAAATCGAATTAAACCGTATGGCGTGTCAGAGGAGCTTTCTTTTTCTACGCAAACTTTGTGATAAATTTGATTTAATCACCTAACAAAACGTTTACTATTCTTATCTCTCGGTTGAGATTGCCTTTCATTTGTGTGAAATTGGATTTTCTCGAGAGAAATGAAACCTCGAACAATACACAGCACCCATCATTCGAATCCAAATCCGAAGCCATTGCAAAATAAATTGCAATGGCTGAATGGAATTACCAAATCATTCATGGTTTTGTTTTATGGCCGCACAATAAAAAGAAATGTTCTATCGTACCACATTGTTGCAGCTTCATCATTCAATACATTGCATTCGAAGAGCACTAACGAGGAAAAAAGCAACCAAGCACGAACGAACGATCGTTGTATTTCAATTACATCTATTATTTATTATATTGTGCGTTGTGTAACACTTGAATCGAAAAACATTATGGATGAAAAGAGGTGCTTTCATCCAAAATGTATACATGTGGCAAATGAGATTGATTTCATTTCGATTCCAATTCAAATGTATTTCAAATATGGCAACATTTTCGCTATAATTTTAACATTTTTCTTTACATCAAAAACATTCGAGTTCAATCGAATTTCACATTCGAGAGAACTATTGCGTTGGGTTGTTATTCTGATTTTAGGGAATCATGTCCGTGCATACAAAAATATAAAATTCAATCGAAATAAATTATCGGCGTATTTCATTTCAGTTTGGTTTTCATTTTGATATTTAACCTTTATAAAACACAAAAATTCCATTCGAATTACCGGCCAAACAAAAATTGTTTCTTCAAAACCGATTACATCGATTTTTTGCGAGTTTTCCAATTGATTTGCACTCTTCCAATTAGTTCTCCATTTACCAAACAAATTTTGTTCTATTCTCGGAACATTTTCGCCCAGAGAAAATGTGTCGCATTTTAAATTTCGAACATCCAGCAATGTTGTGATCCAATTTGTGTTTGTGTGGGATAATGTTAGTAGCACGACATTAATGCTTGTAAACAAAGTACATAAAATTGGAAATGATACTTGATTGCAAGTGCATTAACATCGAAAACATCAGCACATCCACAACGAAGAAGTATCAGTAGTTGTGCTAACGATTACATCTCTACTACGATGTGCAATAAATTCGGCAATGGCGAGAGGAGCATCATGTTGATGCACGGGACAATGTTGTGCTTAAATTGAAAACAATTGGTGGTAATGGTGCTATTGTGTCACGACAGTAATGCACCAAACAACATTACAATGCAAAGGAAAAGTGAGCAAAAAAAAATGAAGAAGAAGACGACGAAGGACCAAAGAAAAAAAAGAACAAAACACGGGATATTTTCTACTGATCTAAGAAAATGTGCCAAAATATGTCAGTCGAATAAGACATTTCACAAGTGCAAACCAGGCACATTTAAGACACTTCTCCGACCGTTTTTCGTGCAACCATTTGCCATTTTCGACGATTTTACCTCGAACAACGGCAATGATGCTGTTGCTGCTGCTGCCAAGCGCCACGTCCAAATGAGAGAGAGAGAGCGATATTGTACATCGTATGAAAATGTTAAAACCCTTCGTTGCATTGTTTCAATTTTTTTGAGCAAGTGTGTGTGTGTGTGTGTGTGTGTGTGTGTGTGTGAGTGGCAAAGAGTGGAGAAGTAGAAAGAGAAACACGGAACGAATTACCAGCGGCAACGTTTTCTGAACATGACACAAGTGAAGGCTGTGTGTGAGTTGGCTTTTTTGTTTTGTTCCTTTTTTTCCTGCCAGTTGCTTGATTTTGTTATCGGTGTCAACATATTTGATGTTTTTGTTGTACATATTTAAAATGAGGATATGCATCGTTGCTGTCTGAACATCGTCGCTATTTTGCAAAATATATCGTCAAGCAAGCGAAACATTTCACATCATCCGCATTCCGCTGCTATCGCCACCGCCGACGACGACAACAGCGACACACATTGTAACCAAGAAAATAACAAGTGCAATTAAAATGTGCTCTCGAAAATCCAATGTGAAGTGTACAAACACATTCATGTCACACAAAGATGGAACGAGATAAAGCATTCTATCAATCACATTGGATTTACACATTTCACCTCTTTTCATTCAATGGATTTGCAACAAAATATCCGGCTCATGTGTGTATGCACAATGTGTACGATTACATTTTTTTTTTTTTGCTTTCCACTGGCCAATTTGATTAATATATGTGAAATAAGAGATATTTCTTCCACACGAGATACATCGCTCAAGCTAAATTACTTCAACATAATAGGAAATAATTCTGGTTTTAATTTGAATGCGACTTAAGTTTATTATGTGGTCGGCATTTTAATTATGCACTGACATGCATCGAGTATGAATAGCCGGACTTGACTTCGACTCTCAATGTCCGAATAGTCGCTCTCTCCCTCTCTGGGAAAACTCTTCAGCTGCATGTATAATTGTATATACACGATTATATCACATTATCTGGGTGCTCGAAATTCAAACTCAAATTTGCTACATTTGATAATAATTTATTTATATGTTGGAAAAATGAATAACAGCACACAGACACGCACAGCGTCGCATACTCGCTCGCAGGCTGTGTTGAGAGGCGACAACATCCGTTGCCAACTTTGAAAATGAGATTATTTTTTTTTTTGCATTTTCCAAATGGCATCCCGAAACCAAAACTCAGCTCCAGCTCTATCACACTCCCTCTCTCCTGCGCTCTCTGTGTATCGTCCCAAATTTAGTGAGCATAAAATGTGAGTTAATTATTCATGAATAGTTTACCTTTGAACTATATAAATGAAGTTTATCCTCGTCGCAACACACAGCCAGCCACACACATTCATGTTTGATTTGACGGCCTGAGAAGAAAAGCCTTTCCTACAAAACCTGTGCGCAGAACACAAACACAGAAATTTTTTTAGTCAAAAGGTGAACAGCAAATTTGCGAGCGCAAAAACCTAATATATTTACAGCGAGCGCAAAAGTATAACAAGCCTACTAGCATGCAAACTCCGTATA